CCCACCAGCCAACCCCAAGGACAGTGGCTCATCCATGTGTGTCATTCCCCCCCCCCCTTCCCGCAACACCCGCCGGCCTTCGACTCACCTCTCCGAGGCCGAAGGATGGGGTGGCGCGATGGGGTCTGGGAGGGGATGGTGAAGGGTTTGGGGGGTCCCTGGTGAGGGGTTTGGGGGTGCGAGGGCTGGCGCTGGCCCCCGAGCGCGAGGCTGGCATTCGGGGGAGGCCGGGAACAGGAAGGTCCCAGCGTCATCCCATTCCCCCGGCCCTGCTGCCGCCTCGCCGCGAGCCGGATGCTTTTTTCCACTCGGCGAGCAAAAATAGGGGTGAAACCTTGGAAGGGGGGTCCCCCAACCACGACACCCTCAAACCCCACAGCCGAGCGATGGATCCTGGTGGGGAGGACGAGGGGGCTCGGCCCCTTCGGTGACAGGGAATGGTGGATTCGGGTTTGTTTTTTTTTTCCCTGCTCCGCTTGGAAAACATTCCCGGGCAGGAGGATTTGGGGGGAGTACACAAGGCTCATTTTTGGGGGAGATGGCGGGGGGGAAATGAGCAGCCAGAGCCCCCCTAGCCCCCCCACTTTGTGTAATGGCTCCAGCTCCAACCTCGTGCATTCCCCCCCCCCCCCCCGCCCTGCTCCAGCAAAAAAATGGTTGGAAATTATGCAACGAGGCCGGCGCCTTCATTAACGGGATTGAGACGAGCTCAGCACCAGCCCTGGGCGTCAGGGTTTTGGGGTGCCTTCGGCATCCCCTTCTGCACCCCACCACCACTGCCCCGCTGAGACCCTGCAGCCCCCAGGAGGGTCTGGGGGTGCAAGGGTGGGGAGCAGCGGGTCCCCGTCCCCATCCCTGCCCTGGGGAGGTTGGGTGGCGCGTGCGGGCGCGTGGCGGCAGCCGGCGTGGGAGCCGTCCCCGCGGGGCACCTGGCGCTGCGGCACCCGGCTCCGCTCCAGCCCCAACCAGGAGGATGGGAAAAACCTTTCCACGGTGGCGTTGGCGTCACCGGAGTCGTGCCACCACCGCCACGACCGTCGCCTCGTCCCCTAGGGGTGACGCTGCCGGGGGTGTCCCTGGAACCGCATGGCAGGACGATGCTCAGCAAACTCCGCTGCTCAGGGACCTTTTATTGATCTCATCGGCAGACCCGTGCGCCCCAACCCTGTACCCACCCCCCCACAACCCTCCTTGGCTTTGGGGGTGCTTGGGGTGCAGGTGCCGAACCCCGGCTCCGCTGTGGGAGCATCCAGCCCTGTTCCTGGCCGCTGCAGTCCCCAGCCCTTGCCAGGGCAATGCCAGTCCCCCTTGCTGGGGATACACCCCAAAACCCATCCCCACCCTTGCATCCCCATCCCTCTATCTCCATCCCGGCATCCCCGTCCCCATCCCGGTGTCCCCATCCCCATCACGCGGCATGAAGCTTCTGATGCCGATGGAGCTGGGACTTGTGGCGAAAGCCGTCCCCGCACTCCCCACAGATGTAGGGCTTCTCATCGGTGTGGGTGCGGCGGTGACGGATGAGGTTGGAGCTGACGCTGAAGCGTTTCCCGCACTCGCCGCAGCTATAGGGTTTCTCGCCGGTGTGGGTCCGCTGATGCTGGATGAGGGCCGAGCTCTCACTGAACCGTTTGCCGCAAGCGCCGCAGGCGTAGGGCTTTTCGCCGGTGTGGATACGTTGGTGGGTGACCAGGTTGGAGTTTTGGCTGAAGCCTTTGCCGCAGGCACCGCAGGTGTAGGGCTTCTCACCGGTGTGGGTGATCTGGTGACGTGCCAGGTCCGAGCTGCGGCTGAAACCCTTCCCGCACTCGCTGCAGATGGTGGGGCGCAGGCGACCCCCCCGGAGCCCCAGCAGCTCCTTCAGCGGTCCCAGGCCCCCCGGGTGTCCCGGCGTTTTGGCCGGTCGACGTGCCGGCGCTTTCCGTCGCGGCCTCGCCGGGCGGCCAGGTGGCTCACTGCCGGAGGCTGGTGGGCTGGGGTGGGCTGCGGGGAGAGGAGAGCTGGGCACCGGCGGGACGGCGTGGGGATGGGTGGCACCGAGGGCAAGGGGATGGGCCCAGGGCTGTGTCCCACTGAGCCTTTCCCGTCCCATTGGCACCTTCTCTGTCCAGTCAGTCCCTTCTCCACCCTTTTTGCCCCTTCTCCATCCCTTTTGCCCCTTCTTCATCTCTCTGTCCCCTCTATCCCTTCCCCATCCCCTTGTCCCCTTCTCCATCCCATTGATACCTGCTCCATTCCCTCTTCCCCTTCTCCAGCCCCTCTGTCCCTTCCCCATCCCTGCTGCCCCCCCTCCATCCCTTTTCCTGCTTCCCTGTCCCCTCTCTGGTTTGGGGACAGCAGTGACACCCCTGTCCTGCTCCCAAGCCCCGGTTTAACTCCCAGCTCAGCCCTCTGTGTGTCCCCACCAACCCGCCCCATCCCACCCCAAGGACAAGTGTCCAGGCTCGGGGGGCAGGAGGAGGTTCATGCACTGGGCAGGATGCGTGCGGATGGCACCACTGAGGGGGACTCGGAGCCCAAATTCCCTCTGCAAACCATGGCTGGAGTTGGGGTACTAGGAAACCCCATGGTGCAGGAGCAGGGCATCCCTGCACCCCAGGATCGGGGCATCACCATGACATGGGATCAGGACATCTCTGCACCCCGAGATCAGGGCATCCCCACACTGTGGGGTCAGGACATCCCTGCACCCCATGACTGGGACCATCCCTATGGTGTGGGAGCACGGCATCCCTGCACCCCAGGATCAGAGTGTCCCCAGGCCAAAGCAATGGGGCATCCCTGTACCCTCAAATCAGGGCATTCCCATGTTGTGTGATCAGGACATCCCTACACCCCCAGATCAGGGTATCCCAGAGCCACAGGAATGAGGTACCCCTGCACCCCGGGATTGGAACATACCTGTGCCACAGAAATGGGACATTCCTGAACCCCCAAACTGGGGCTTCCCCATACCATGCAGTCAGCACATCCCTGCACCTCAGGATTGGGGCATCTCCATGCTGTGGGGTTGGGGTATCCCTGTACCCAGGGATTGGGGTATCCCTATGCCGGGAGAAGGGGGTATCCCCACTCCGAGGGACTGACGCATCCCCACATGCTGGGATCGGGGTATCCCCCTGCTACAAGACCAGGACACCTGCACCCCAGGACCAGAGCATCTTCTCCTTATAGGATCAAGGCATCCCTACGCCAAGGGATCAGGATACCCCCATGCCATGGGAATAGCACATCCCTGCACCCCAAGACTGGGGTAACCCCATGCTGTGGAATTGTCATACCCCCATACGCTGGGATTGGGGTACACCCATGCCATGGGAATGGGACATCCCTACACCCCAGGACTGGGGTATCCCTGTGCTGTGGGATCGTGGTATCCCCGTGCCATGGAAATAGGATAACCCCACATCCCTGGGACACCCCATATCCTGGGATCAGGGTATCCCCATACCATGGGAGTGGGACACCCACACCCTCCGGCATCAGGGTCCCCCCCACCCTCCAGGATTGGGGGATCCCCATGCCACAAGGTCAGGGTATCCCCACATAGCTGGGTCGGGGCAGGTCCACGGGGGACCCCCAAAAAGGACTCCCCACCCCACTCCCCACAATGCCACGGGGACACGCCGCATGGGGACACCTCGGCCGAGCCCCTCACTGTGGCCAGGTGCCGCTTTGGGGGGGCTCACCTGCGGAGGTCCCCTCCGGCAGCTCGGCGTCCTGGGGGTCCCGGGGGTCCCGGGTGGACGGCTCCCCCTCCGCGTCCATCGCCGCTGTCCCAGCACACTCAGACGGGGGGACCCTGCCCGGGGCGGTGAGAAGGAGCAGGCAAAGAGATGGGGTGACATGGGGGCACCCCCGGGGGGGGTCCCGGCTGCACCCCAAGGGGGGTCCCGAACACCTCCATGCCTCAGTTTCCCCTCTTGACGCTGGGGAGGGGGGGCATCAAGGCCATGGGTTGGGGCTTGAAGCATCCCCCTCCCCATCCCAACAGCATCCCCCCCCGCCATGCTCCCCACCCCTCTCATGGAGGGGCCCCCCAAGGTTGGGGGGGGGGAGGCCTCCCCTCCCCCCCCCCCCCGACTCTGCCCCGAGCATCGCCGCCATCTCGGGGGGCACCGGGAAGGGGAAAAAGAGGGGGGGG